GCTATGTTTGAACTTCAGCAGATTGTCTTGACCATGTCTAAATGCCTACGTGCCTAAATGCATTGAGTTGCCATGTGATTGGCTGATTAGATATTTAACGAGCAGTTGAACAGGTGTACCTAATAAAGTGGCTACTAGTTATAATTATAAATGGATATTATAATATAATATTTCTTATACATTTGTTATATTAATTGGTATTGTTATATTGTATTATATTTACTATATTTTATTGTTTTTAAATACACAGTATATTGATATAATATATATATACAATTTTTTGTGGAAATTATAATTAAGATGTGTACATTTACATGTATGCAAAGAAAAATGTAAATATTTAAAAAATATGACCAAAATATATATTATATTCTTTAGTTAATGGATGCACCATATGACGTTATTCCTTAAAAGGGCCCCTATTATGGATTTTTGAAAATGACCTTTCATGTAGTGTGCAACATCCTGCAAAGTTTTAAATTTGAAAGTGAACCGTATAGTAAGTTATTGGCCCTCATTTATCATTTTTGCGTAGAAACGGGCGTATATGTTGACGTAAGATTATGCTTACACTCCTCTCACCGCCTGATTTATGAAGCTGTGCGTACCTTTGAAATCCAGGTGTACGCAATACCTGCCCTTGATAAATCCCGCGGCTGAAAACGATCGTCATTAGAATAACACGCCCTCTATATATTCAAGTCTCCGCTTCCCCCACGCCCTCATTTTACGCCATGTACACACGGAAGACGGCACAGAAGAGAAACTTCTCCGACGTGGAGCCGAAATGACCTATCACAATGCATTATTTTACAGCACGTCCTTTGAAACGATTAGCATTCAATTTCGAATCACGTCACATGTATTGGGGTGTACAATAGTGATGAAATGATGTGGAGTACCATTCATTCACATTAATAATTGCATGACAATTTGTAATATTCTTCTTCTTATTATGATTTTTATTATTAATGACGCTTATTGTTATTTAGAAGAAGAACGTCGTTATTATTATTTGTATTATTATTATTATTTAAAAGAAGAAGAATGTATTTTTTATTATTTTGTCAGTCTGAACATGGTGAGGTGAACATCTCATAATGTACATCAAACTGAGTACCTGTAGTGTATCACTGAGAAACGTCCTGCTCGAGTTGTCCTTGAGATGGAGGTTCGGGTTGAATAACTAGTTCTTCCAATGACAATCAGAGCTGACGTTGTTATGGCAATGGGCATTTTGGTTTTCAACACGGTAAACCAATCACAACAGACTGAGCTGTCTGGCCAATCAGAGCAGAGTAGCTTGCGGAAAGGAGGGATTTAGAGAGATTGATTCATCTGACGAGTCGTTTGAGAATCATTGAAAATGTGGTGTTGTGCAAATGTATATTATCAGGAAATTAAATGTTTTTTGACCTTTGATGCATGTAAACCTGTTGTAGGAGAATCCAAAACAACATTAGGAAACAGTTTAAAATAGCATAATGGGGCACTTTAAATGAAAAGTTTTTCAAAAACATGTGAAACCGACATGAAAAGAAAGTACATTTCTGAGAACTTGGCACATGTGTTTTTTTAAATAAATTTTTTTTTTTTATCGTGGACCCTCTTATTTGTCATTGACACAATGATCAAACTTAAGCACTGATTGGAAATAATTCTGATTGGAAAGAAATATGTACCACCTCCCTCTGTTTTTGTTGTTTTCAGCAGAGTGTGTTGTCGCTAACCTGTGTTTGTGTGTCTGTATTTGTGATGTGGCTCTGAGACAGGGTTTTTACTGGCAGCTGGCCGATGTAGAGATGCAGCTCTGGGCATGCGTTCATGTCTGCGGTGGGTTCCACTGCTTACTGGATTGTGTTGTTGACACGCATGCTGTAATCCAGCCCTGGGTAAGCCTACAAACTCCCACAGTGGGCTCAGTCCAACCACGGGTCAGTTTTGCCACGCAACTTTACCTTTTGGCCAATCCAGAACTCCAAATGGCCACAGCATGACTTTTGACTTGTGGGATGATTCCATCAGTCACCAAAGGATCTGAGACACTGAGTCTCAGCTGCAGGCTTGACCTTTCAGGCATTGAGAATGGGATGTCTATCACACTCAGTGAGCCTCCTGCTCCTAGACATTATCATGCTCTCTTAAAAACATTATGTGCAATCTGTCCACCCTGACCTCAAGCCAGATCGCTGAGGAGAAGTGGCTCAAATGGCAGCTGTTTGGGAACATGCTCAAAGTACAGGCTGGATTTGCAATCGTCACGGCTTCACTCAGAGATCACTCACTGTCTGTGAAAGTAATGACAAATTAAAAACCTCCCTGGCTCTTCATCACTCAGAATCAGAACTCTAAAGTATAGGAAGTTGAGACGCACCACAGCTTTTTTCATTTATGGTTTAAGTACTTCCATGTTCCACAATTTGTGGTTTGATGTCTTGGCTGCTTTGTAAAAACTGATACGTGCATGTTTGAAAAAAAAAAGAGTTGTTTCCTCGACATGCTGTCCGTGCTGTTTTATTTAGTGTTTGAATGCTTGTAAATTATGAATGAGGAGTAAAACTACATTTTCCAACATTAAAACAGCTAGGTTAAACAAAGAATTGGGTTCATTACAGAATACAAAAGGATGTTTTATGTTGAATATGCAATAATTTTTTAATTTGTATTAAATTCAGTGTAATTTTATTAAATCATTCCACTTGAAAGTTTGCTTGTTTTGATGGCTAATTATGATTAGCTAGTTGTCTAACAACCAAATAGTTGATTAGTGAGATTCCAGACTATTAAATATATGAAATATTATTATTAATTTCTATTGTTTTTCCAGTTGTTTTGTTTTGTACTGGTTCTTTTATTAGCAACAACGTCCTGTGCTTTAGATGTAGTTTGCATGATAAAAATCCTCTCTTAAAAGTTGTATCTAAATATTCATCACCCCTGTAGCACCGTTGCTATATCCATATATATATATATGCAGATGGACTTCTTTTGCCGTTGTGTCACGTCTCATTGTTTTTTGAGCATCCTGCAACGTACGTTGCAGTTTTAAGACTCTGTGACAAGTTAAAACACTTCAACTTTTAACATTTTTTTTTTTTTTTTTTTGTCATAGATTTTACTATATTGTCTATTAAAGCCGGAATGTTGTATTTGGCCAATCAGTATCTAGGATCGGATCTATAAAACTATCTGTTTTATGATGGCCTTCTTGATATCAGAACATCAGTCAATAGACCAAACCCTGTCAAACCCTTGTTTTCACAGAAGCTGTTACATTAGTAGCATAGCCAAAAATGCTGCAGCACTATGCACTATATATTTTATTGCCAAAGTATGTTAATGCTAATCTATGATGCATGATATAATCACTTCTTGTGAAGCGGCAGACAGTCGGTCGAATTAAGAGTCAGACACAGCGAAATCATTAGTGGTTGCCTTCAAAGCCAATTGTTTTGTCAATGAAGCACAGGCTATTGATCATTTTCATTTACGTGGAGTGCTTGATCAGCTCAGAGTCGGTGTCAATAACCCGGCCTCTTCAGTTCCAGCTTCGTCTATAGTTAGACTCCATAGATCCTTAAGTTTATTATTGTGGTTTGAGCAACTTATGTACACTTAGCCACGGCTCCAACAGAATACCTGACTTGTTGGATTGGTATTCTGATCCAGTCCTACCGGGTTGGGCAGTGCTGATGCCATGCATATTACTACAAGACTAATATCCTGCGGAAAGCAAAGTGCCCAGCACAGCGTCTTACCAGAAACATTCTGTTAAGATGGTTAATATGGCAGGCCAGGCTGTGCCAGATCAGTGCGGAATGCCTAATGAGGATTAATACTGTATCTGCCTTCATCACAAGCAACAGCCACTGCTTTCTCTTAACTCTCATCTACTTGATGAAGGTAGAGAGGAAATAACTACAGGATGTGAGTGTGAGAAAGTTTCTGGCCTGTTGGCGGGACTTGGTTTTGTAATGTGTTTTTATTCTTCATGAACTTAAACATTTGGTTTTGTGTTATTGCAAATCACATTCAAAACGTAGTAGCCTTTTTTGTATTGTTTTTTAAAGGTTTGTGGTCGGTAAGACTTTTAAAAGTGGTAAAAAAAAGAAGAAAAGAAAATAACTCTATTATGCTCACCAAGGCTGCATTTACTTGATCAAAAAATATAGTAAAAAACTGTAATATTGTGAAATATTATTGCAGTTTAAAATAAGTTTTTATTTATTTATTGTAATATATTTTAAAATGTAATTTATTCTGTGATGACAGCTGAATTTTCAGCAGCCATTACTCCAGTCAGTCTCACAATCCTTCAGAAATTATTATTATATGCTGATTTGGTGCTCAAGAAACGTTTCTTTTTATTATCAATGTTGAAAACATTGTGCTTGTTAATATTTTTGTGGAAACCATGACACCTATTTTTCAGGATACTTTGATAAATAGAAAGTTTAAAAGAACAGCCTAGAAATAGAAATGTCTTTACTCTCACTTATGATCAATATAATGCATATAATGTTTTACTGAATATGAATATGAATGTTTCTGGAGCATTTTTGTTAACAACTAGAGTAGACCATAATTCCAGCTCACTTCCTAGATTATTTGACATTAGTTTACATGTAATGTAGTTAAGCAGACTAAAGGCCCGTTAGCACCAAGAACGATAACTATAAAGATAGCTAGAATGATAACTATAAAGATAGCTATAACTATATTAGCGATATCGCTCTGTTTATTCTAAGCGCGTGTCTGTCTGTCACTTTACAGTAAGTGCTCGAGCTCATTAAAGCTGATGTATTCTGATTGTCTGTCAGTGTTTTTATCGTTCATCATCTGGATAAAATCGTTCTGAAAGTGATTCCAACGATATCGTTTCTCTTTGCCGTTATTGTTATAACTGTGGTGTGAACTCTGCTATTCTTTAATATTGAGAACAAATTTTAATTTATTGTGAACGGGCCTAAACTAATCGCTGCTCTGTGTGTGTTTTGCAGGACAAGTCCCCCTTATTGTTGTGTGGACCTTTATTCCTTGAGGACAGGAGAGATGGTCAAGTCCATTCAGTTTAAAACGCCCATCTATGATCTTTACTGCAACAAAAGGTGTGTTTACACACGTGTGTCCTGCACTTCACCTTGTAATCATTTTAAATGGAACATTAAGCTTATATATACTTTATTATTTTTTCCCCAACTCCATCTCCATCCCTTGATGGCCACAGGATTCTCGTTGTTAGTCTTCAAGAAAAGATCGCTGCCTTTGACAGCTGCACCTTTATGAAAAAGTTCTTTGTCACAAGTAAGTTCTTCGTGTTATAGATGTGTCTGCTGAACTTGACCTTTCATGACCTTCTCTAGTCTCCAACACAACTTTTCTCTGCCTCTTTGATCTGCAGCTTCGCAAAACATGAAACCTAGTCTTGATTAATCCTCTTCACACACTGACTTCATTAAACCCCCAAAACCCCACTCAACCCTTATACGTGCTGTCACACCAACGGAGCCGTTTTTCCCTGTGTCACTCCTCAGGGCTATACGATATCAAAGCTCATCCACAATTCCACTGGCCTGCTTGTTTACACAAATGGCTTTTGTTTTACAATGTGTCAGAGTTGGGCATTACCAGAAACTGTCTGTGTCAAACCGTCATTGCGTAGTGTAAACAATAACAAACAAATGCATATTGTCACTCAGCCCAGCTCTAGCACATAAAGAGCCATTTCCTCTCCTCCAGGCCAAACCACAGGCAAAATCCAAATGGCTTTTTTGCACTCTTGAAGGGGATGCGACTCACAAGGTCCCAACTGTCATGTGCGCACAGGTTTCAGAAAAATACACAGTCCATGTCACCATGTGTAACCAGGCCTCTGCTGCCCACTTAAGCAATCGTCTGTTGTAAATTGCTATTAGCGTTGTTTTAATGGCTCTCATTGTCTATCTGACTTCCCCGTCAATGTCTGCGCCACAGGAAACGGGGACGGTCAATAACCCTTTACATCATTAATTGCTTCTCTAAAGCTTCCTCAACATAGGAAGAAGAAGACTTGACTTATTTTTTAAAGTAACAGACCGAAAAAAAAAAGGGTTATTATAGTTAACTAAATCATAAAAAACTGAAACCACCAATTTCGTTACCGTTATTTCCGGGATAAAAGTTGCATTTTTGATTTATCTGAAACAAGCTCTGACTTATTTTAAAGCGACAACGATAATGCAACTAATTTGAAGCACGCAAAACATGCGCAAAGCGCACATTTGGATTTGTACTAAATAAGAGAGAAATACGTAAGAAATGTATTTGTGTAGCGCATTAACCTTATGCCCATAGTTTCAATTTGGCTCTGAATAAATGTGTTTAGGCTTGCTGTTTATAATAAATGTTGTTTATATAAGGAATGCTATTATAATAATTATAAATTATATAATTTATGTTTGTTTTATACTTATATTTTTTTTATTCCTGTTCTTTTCTGAATATGGTTGAATTTAAATTATTTGTTGTGGAGTGAGGGCAACTAAAATACATATTCATAGTGTTTATGTTTGTAAACGTTTCATTTTATTTACTGGTATTTTACATTATTTCAGAATGTATCATTGATGTAAGTGATATAATTTGCGATATAAAGTTAGTTTTATCCAATGTTCAGTATAATTCACCCTCATGTCATTTCAATTTATACAATTTTCGCTCAACTTCCAAACACAAATGAAGATATTTTTTTATGAAACCTGAGAGATTTCTGTCCCTCCATTCTCATTCCTCCCAAAAATGTCTAAAAGACATCGTACAAATAATCAATCGAGTGGTCTAATCCAAATCCAAGTCTACTGAAGAGACACAATGGCTTTATGTGATGAACAGATTTACAACGGCACGCATAGTAAACACGGACGTTCAAATGCTTGAGGGACGCGCAAAAACAACATGAGAGTGAGTAAATGCAGAACTAAAAATTTTGGAGGAACTTAGTCATTTTGACATGCTTTCTTGCGATTAGAACTGTGATTGATTTGCATTGATCATCTGAAGCGCATATACACGCTGGAACGGCACAGAGAGTCTATCTGTGTACTGTAAACATTTTAAAAAATGGAAATGTCAAAAATTACTAAACTTTAACTAAAGTTAAGATGGAAACATAATCCATTGTGGTTTTTGAGTTAGGTCTTCTCTCTCTGGCTGAGATCTCAAAACAATTGTGAAAATCCCCCAAGTCTAGCTCACAAGATGTGTTAAACATACGTTATCTCACTGCATCGGCTCCCTCCGCCTTGGAAAGGCACAAAAGGCTTTTGCGTTACTGGGCTTGTGGCTTACCTCAAGCCCCATTCACCCGAGTTTCAGATCCTGACTCTACACCCTAAATTACTGTTTGCATATATTTTATATTCACTCTATGCTATAAATTACTGTCAGCACACTTCACACTGTGATATGCACTTGCGTAACCTTTCCGTTTGCGAGGGCGGAGAAAGAAGTTTGGTATTTCTGTGCTTGTTTATTAGGTTTTAGTTTAATCAGACCTTATCTGATTTGCATTTGCTTGCGTGTTTGCCCTGTTTGAATGTGTCCCACATGTGATATACGGCTACATTATCATGGCATGTGGGATTGGTACGGATTCTATGGCTGTATTGCTCTCATGGGTCAATCTGTCTGGTAGTTAATAAGCTGAGGAGCCGTTCTACTGTCACAAAATGCCATACCCCTTATTTAACCTCTGGTATTACTCTAACCCTAAGCTCTAGTAAAACACAGTCTTGGACAAGATGCTGCTATGATGGACTATTTATGTCCTCTTTATCCTGTCATTTAGTTTATCTCTTGTTATATTTGTGTGTTTTCCTTTTTGTTGCAGGCTGCTACCCCTGTCCTGGGCCCAACCTCAACCCTATAGCTCTGGGAAGCCGGTGGTTGGCCTATGCTGAAAACAAGGTAGTACAAACACCAAATATTTTAAAGAACTCCAGATTTATCAAAACACTGGTTTTCAGAAAGACAACCTATTTTATTTTATTTTATTTCATTTTATATTTAATTTTTCTTACTTTTTCTGTTTTAGTTTATCTTTTTTTTTTTTAAATGTATTATTTATTTTATTTTATTTGTTTTACTTTTTTATATTTATAGTCATGAATTAGATATTCTTTACATTAGGGGTGTAACGATGCACTCAAGTCACTATTCCAGACAGTTTGCGTTACTGAACTCACGATACGATACTATTGCGATATTTTAAGCCAAAATAAAGAAAAGGTTTATTATTATTATTATTATTATTACTTCTAAGACATATGGTTACCACAAATGTATTATTGATTATTGATGTATTGTTGAAATGCTAAATTTCTATTACATCAGGGGTGGACTTGAATAGGCTTGGACTTGGTCCTGGTCCCTTATGCACAAGGCAATAGTGACTCTAGAATAAAAATGTTCATGATTCTGAAGCTGAAAATACAAAATTATGTTAGACTCATATGCTTGCACAGTCTGACTACATAAAAAAAAAGTAGGCCCTTTTTTACTGCTAAAATCCGACATTTGGCATTATCAATACCCAGAAATATTGCCTTATTTTATTATACATTCTATTCAACATTAGATATTGTAGTGTAATGTAGTAATGTCACTGAAACTCAGCAAAGTTTTGTTTTATTCTTCACGCAGTGCACTCTCACTTTCAATGCAGGCATTTGTTGGATCTCTTACACAGACAAGCCTCGCACACAGACTCTCCCGTTGCTCTCCCTCTATTAATGCACATGCTTGATAAGAAGAAACCTTTTAAAAAGCTTTGTATAATCATACTACTAAAAGAAAAACGCTGTGATTTAAATTATGTTTGTGTTTTAATGTTGAGGAGTGCCACTCCAGCGCTTGCGCTTTGCGATTAGAACTGTGATTGCAAAGTGCATGTCTAAATGACTATTCCCAAACTTTAAAGGGTTAGTTCACCCAGAAATTACAATTCTGTCTTCATTTACTCATCATTTACTCACCCTCATGTTGCTCTCGCATGTCACACATGCACATACATTACAAATTTTGTCTTTTTCTTATTAGAACACTCAGATTAAACCGCTCAATTTATTATTATTATTATTATTTTTTTTTTTTAACGATGCCTTTATTATTTTTTGGGGGATCTTTAAAGTTTTAAAATGACACAAAATTGTATAATAAATATGATTATTAATTAGTAATTAATTCCGTTGTGCTCCATCCAGATGTTTTTGAACACAAGAACATGGCCTGTTTGAACTCTCTGATCAGTCAGCCTAATAATTCAGGCCTTCCTTCAGACTGATTTGTTGCTGAAAATGTGTTGCTTGGAAACAGCCCTAAGTCCAACTGCAGTTGCCTTCTAAATGTTTTTATTTCTTACGAATTGCACATATCATTATAAAGACAATGCGTGTCATATCGATAGGAGCTAACAATATAATATGACATATTATTATTAAGTAGACCCTCGATTTGCCGCCATTTATGTAATGGGTGCGGTTTGTTTGCCTTAGAGAGGCCAGTTGCTGCCTAATAATGGACAGATGGGACAGTGTGTCTGGGCAAAGGTAATGAGTTTCTGGCCAATGGCAGCTGAAGTGTTGAATAGGTCTGGGACAGGGACCCTAGAGGGAGTGCGCTATAGAATGGGGCTGAAGAACTGTTTGTTGTCCTAATGGCATCCTCCTCCTCCTTTTACTCACCGTGCCCGCCTGCAGACGTCCTGGCGCGGGCTGTGACAGGCCTCTGTGGGTTAATGAGTGCTGGGGAGCTGAAAGGTTCTGGATGATAATGTGACTCTGTTCTGTCTCTGTTTGTGTGTGTGTGTAGCTGATCCGGTGTCATCAGTCCCGTGGTGGGGCCTGTGGAGATAATGCCCAGTCCTACACTGCCACTGTCATCAGTGCCGCTAAAGTGAGTTTACCCTTCTTTTTTTTTTACCACTGCCATGCCTGCCACACTCTTCAACACACGTGTTATAGTGGCCTCAAAAAGTATTTACACACCTAAGCCACAAATAAATATCAGATGGATAGATGGGTAGAATAAGCATATCTTTCAAATAATTAATTTCATAAAAAAAAGTTAGATAAAAATAAAAATAGATATACTGCTCAAAACAAATACACTAAGAACTTACTGGTTGTCTAATGTTAATGGATAATAGCAGATGCCACATGGTTTGATATTTTGTACCTAATTCAGTGAAGTCCATACATTTTGAGTGTGGCTTTAGTGTCCAAATACTTTTTGGGGTCACACTGACACACTTTTGTCCACACATTGACCAACAGATACAGTACTTTGTCAACACTTGTGCCACAATTTTTGCACAGATTATTTCAGTTGTGTCTTGCTGAGAGACTTGTCTTTCTTATGAGTATTATTTTGTTTTATAAGATTAAAGCCAGCCATTCTTTGGTAAATTCTGACATTTATAACTGTTGGTGCACAGTTGGCATGTCGTGCTGAGGATCCCCACTGCTTATAAAAATCATTCAACATGGTGAGGAAATGATTAGTTTATTTTAGCATTAACTCTGGCCAAACTTTTTCATATCGTAGAGCTTAAAGAACATATCAGCGTTTCATTTCCAAAAATGATTGGCCCAGTGATTTTTAAATCTTTAAAGTTTGTCACATTAATTAATGATTATCCTCTTTACAAGGCAAGAAATCAAACCATACAGCTTAATGTGGCTCTTGCTCTTTTTCTCTTTTTTTTTTTTTGCATTTATTTGTGTATTTTCAGCCATGCTTTCCTTCTTGTTTGCTCTGCTCTAAATGACGGTCATAATGTGTGCTGTTCCACTCACTTTATTCACCATATAGCATCCCAGAGCGTTCTCGACATAGTCCTTAGTGATTCAGAGACCCACTAGAGTTCATTTAGTGGTGCCAGAACCTTGGTGCTTAACCTTTCATATGGTTCCAGTCTCCTCTCCTGGTTGCTTAATTGATTTATTAAGCCCACATCTGTATTCCCCGGCCGCCGGCCTGATCACTGCCTAACGAGCGCTAACGGCTTACGTGAGAGAAGAGCCATTAGCCTTAATGGCGGTATACATCAAAAGGAGCACAGCAAAGGTTAGCAGGGAGGAAAACAAGGTTAAAAAAGCCTTGATACGCAGACAGGCCGTCTGCAGACGGGGCTGTGATTTATAACCATCTCCTCCACTCTGACACACAGTCCCTGTGCTGAGTGGCTCTGAGTGCGGCCGTCTGGGGGCCAGGGGGCCATCTCCCATCAATCCTGTAACACAATCACAAAAGGAGGGGGAGGGCGCCTTTTGCAAAATTGAATTCTTGCAAGGCACAGATTGTGTAAATGAGTGCGATGTGACCAAAAGAGAGATGTCATTGTGCTAGCCACAAGTCTGCGTGAGCGGGGTGCCCCAGGGCTCTGTTTTCAGACCTCTGCCGCTGTGAACTGTGTTTGGGGTAAGTGGATAGCACAGCTTAAGTAGGGTCTCCTCTAGTTCTCACTTAATGGAGTGAGCGTTGCTGTATGTGTGTGTCTGTCTGCCAAGGCCCCGGAGAGCTTAATCAGGCATTCAGGCCAAGCGGCAGCGTCAATACCTCGTGGCGCCTGTGTTTGTTGGGCCCTTTGGAGAATGCTCTGACAAGCCCACTAACTGACTGTGTGTAAATTGCTTTGCCCCATCAATTATTAAGAGAAGCGTTTGCCTCCTAATTGATCAACACTAATGTGTTTTCTAATCACTGCAGTTAGAGTTTTTAGTGCTAATCCAAACAGTCCCCATTGATCAGGGCTAGCAAGGGGAGGGGCGGGCGGCCAGCTGGTGGCAGACACTGCACCGACTGCTGTGCCAGAACTCGGACATCTCTTCTCAGCTCATATCTATGAGTACACACTCAAACAAACGCTAACCGTTAGCCTACACGGCTAACTTACACACCTGTCTGTTGACATTGCCTCAAACAACACTGGATGCAAACATGTTTTTTAGGTCATTGCTCAACAACATCTCTGGATGTGGGAACATTGTTTGCGGTATTGATCTGAGTGTTGCAATAGAACTTGGTAGGCTAGCACAAATGTTGCAGAATGAAATGTTTTTGTCTTTTAACCCTTTGCATGAATTATTATTATTTTTTGCTTTATGATTCATATTTTTTTCTTTTTACTTCAGAACAAGCATAAAATTATTCCACATTTTTTTTCAAAATGATGATTTTAAAATATATCCATACGATAAATGCTAGTAGAATATATTCCCACGGTACTGACCACTTTCATCAGCTGTTTTAAATTATTCCATACATTATTAAATAAAATTCAATGACATATAAAGAGTATAGCCATTTACAATTATGAGTAGTAATCAAAAGTTGTGGTTTGGATGTAACCTCATCCCCTAAATTGTTAACTGTGGTTAAAGATCTGAACATATCAAGAGTGAAATCCAAACAAATTCCAGTGTTCCTAAATACCGGTAAGTGATGCACCAAAATTTCGGCAAGCCGAAAATATTTGACAAAAAGTAGAATTTTTGGTTTCAGCCAAAAAAGTTTTGGAATTCTGAAACCATTGACCGAAACACTGACATTTAACCAGCGCTTATTACTAATTAGCACTTCAAATTTGTTTTGCTAAAATATAGAGATGCGGCTTGTTGCCAAAGAATTTAACTACAACTGGTTTAATTTACCATTTGAGAACACGACACCGTGAACAGCATACTGAGTTTTCGGTTTCATTTCTCAGATAAATGAAATGTAGGTTTCTTTATATTTGTAAAAAAAAAAAAAAAATAATCCGTGCATCGCTATCATAAATCACTACAGCATTTTTATTTCTATTTCTAATGTTGTGTCTCTGTCTTCCTGTCAGACTTTGAAGACGGGCCTGACCATGGTGGGCAAGGTTGTGACCCAGCTTGCTGGTACGGTGCCATCAGGGGTGCCTGACGAGGAGGGCACTGCCCACAGTGGCACCCGCCGAAGCCCTCACCAACCTGGCGTGGTCACCATCATAGACACACACACTGTGGGAGAAGGACAGGTAAGAAACGCTCACTTATACAGCATAATCAGTACGGTTTTGCCAGGGATTGAGGTCTGAATGACAAGATTTCTAGCGCTGTTTATGGTACTTTCTTCACCCTTGTGACCTTGATCCTCAAGAACCCAGATTCATTCCTCTTTTCTCTGAGATAAATAATCCATTAATCCCATTCATAACTCATTCAGTATTAGAGCTTCTTGTGGCCCAAGGGGTTTGTCATCACCTTGTCATAAGAGCACATGCTCCACCGTTCGTTCACAGACTCCATGCCAGGCCGCAGTCTCCTGATCTCATGATTTAGCCATTTCCTGTGGCTCTTTCCCCCTTGGCTGGCACAACCGTAGACTTTTAGCATGAGATCACAGGCAGGTCATTGCAGGAGCATTACAGAAAAGTTCTACCGTCCTTTTGTTTTCCATCAAGGTCTGAATGTGTGTTAAAAGAGGACTTGTAGGTGTGTGACACATGATTAGACTTTAATAGAGCACTCGGTGTAAAGGCTAGCTGTAATATTTACAGTTCTCCTGTTCAAGGATTTTTACTTGGAGAGAGGTTAAGTTGGAACAGGTTTTGCTATCCTATTGATTCTGACCCATGTAAATGTATCCTTCCATTTAGTGGACTGTTAAAAATAAGATTCTCTATTAGAGTCTACTGTGAGCCGTTTAACACGTTACTCTCATTTAAATGTGCTAATTTATAAACCTGTATCATGCTGATTTTCCAGAGTCAACACTTTCTAAAAGAGGTTTCCTGCATTTATATCACAAAGAAGCTGCGCTCCTCCCAAAGTGGACTAGTTATGTTTTCGGTGTTTGCGGAACACACAAAACAGATTTGCGGAATTTACTGTCAATGCCATTCGCCCGTGACTCCAGCAGTGGTCTTGGCATTTTCTCTTCTGTTTTTTTTTTCCCATCTCCCCCTCTCCCAGTCTCAGGGGACACACCCCTACCTTCTCATCTTCATCACCCCCTCTCAGCTCTGTATTTCCTGCAGGGTTATTTGCTCTTCGGATCTATCCACACACAAATTCTTTTCTGAAGCAATAGTATATTCCTATACAGAACAACATTGTCTTTTTTTGCCCCCAATAAAAGCGATCTGGTTTGTGTCACAGGGGCAGTTTTTGCAGTCTAAAATAAATGTCTGGGTTTTAGAGCAAGGCTGTTTTCTGTTTGGACTGGATCCTATTAAAAGCTGCCTTGCTCCTTAATGCAACACTCCGCTAGATTTATCACTCTTCTCTCCGGCTGTCTCATGTCTGGGCTTGGTTATAATCTCTTTCATGAGCAAACTTAACAGAGGACCACTGACCAGAGAATAGCCCCGTATGAGCAACACACTCTCCTTTTTCTTTCTTTCTTTCTTTCTTGCTTTCAAGTTGATAGGCTATTTGAAAACATTGGAATTTATATAGAATTTTAATATTTACATAATTTTGTGTTGTGTTGTGTTTTGTATTGTTTGTAATTTATTTACATTTATGCATTTGGCAGACGCTTTTATCCAAAGCGACTTACATTGCATTTCAAGTTACACATTTATATTCTTATCAGTTCTTGCATTCCCTGGGAATCGAAACCATGACCTTGGCGTTGCAAGCGCCAACGCTCTACTGTTTGAGCTACAGGAAGGCTGTATTTATTTCATTTTAATACATTTAATTAATTAATGTATTAATTGGTTTGAGTCAATAAAGAAAAGGTTAACATTCTTTCTCTATCCCTCCTCTTATTTTTCCTTTTTATTTTTATTTTCTTGTAGTGATGCACATAAAGGGATGAATTACGGATTCACATTACAGTTCTTTTTAACTGGGAGCTATTAATCTCTTTTGGGTATCAAAACGTGAAGAGACACTATAGAGTTTCCTCCTGCTGTGTTTGTTTTAACTCCTACAACATGTCACTTTTTCTTCCTGTCTGATACAGTACTGTTGCGCTGTGGGCTTTGGCAGAATATGCACATTGATCACAGTGGTCATGTGGGTTAGTCTTTCTTTCTTTGAAGCCGTGTTCATAAAACACACCAACATATTTGCGGACATCTTTTAAAAATGTAGTCAAATTTATTTGAATTCCATAATGAAACTATTTTGCCGACCATACGTCATTTAAAGCTAAAATCTTCCAGTGTGGATTAAAGTAGACACAAGGATAATTGTTAAGCACCCGCAAGAGGGCAACATGTTTAGGGTTGAATGACATGATGGGGAATGGATGATGATCATAAAAATAGACGTGGAAACATTTTCAGCCCATTTTTTGCTATTCGAGCACAACTTAAAACGCACTTGTTTTAAACAAAATGCCAAAACACATCTTTGTTTAACTGATTAAATCTTATGTAACTGTGAAGATCAGATTGCACTGGCCATTGTAGAGCCAATGACCAGCTATGTGTCTAAAACACTAAGACGTGAGGTAAACAAGAAGTCAGCCTTTATTTATGTGGCTTCATCAACTTACTGTAGCTTTATTGTGTGTATGTTTCAGGTTCTTGTTAGCGAGGATTCTGATGGAGAAGGAGTGATTGCACATTTTCCAGCACATGATAAGCCTATATCCTGCATGGCGTTTAACCCGAGTGGTAAGTGAACACCTCATTGTGATGCCTCACTGAGTTCTACCAAAGCACAAAACTCCAGGAACTTGCTGGCAGGCGTTTACATGGTCTTAAAGGGTACAAGTTGTGGATGTTCCTTGCCTTATTGAATTAAAACATTGAATTCCAATGCAGATGCATTCTGTTCACTACACAGAGTTCCTTCCCCAGTCAACCCAGACCTTTTAGACCAAGATGCAATGGTATTGACCTGCTCTGATAGACGACCTGGTATGACACTGATACATGGAGGTTAGCCAATCATAACAGACTGCTAATTCATTTAGAAGTCTTAAAGGTACAAAAGCAGCTTGTGTGAATAGATCACCTAAATTAATATTTTACTTATCTTTTCTGTTGTTCCAAACCTGTATGTTTTCATGCTTAAATAGAACACAACCGGATGTGTTAAATTGAAATGTTGACTGCTGTTTTCTATAAGTGTATTGGACTTGTGCATATATGCCCAGTCTTTTGAAGTAACACAAATTAGGGTATACAAATACAATTTTGGGGTGAACTATTCTTTTAATTATAGTCATTTAAAACCAAAGTTTGACTTTTTGGTGCTGGAAGGCTCGTCTAATATTATAAGTAGACTTCAGAGGAAAAATAGAATGATAACAGAACTGTAAAGTATGGTCAATTTGAGAAGGAGATGACGTGTCAGTCATGTCACCTTTTTGCATGTAACCTCATCTTGTTCCCTAAGCGTTCCTGTCTGCTTGGCCCTTGAGATAATGTGAGATCTGTTGTTCTGAAAAGTAGCCTTTGTGTGTCTTTTGGAGAAACTACCCTCTAGCACATCATTCACTGTCATTTTTTCCCTCCTTTTCCTCTCTATCCATCCTTCTCTTTCTCCCCTCTTGTCTCTCTTTAACACATAGTCGAATATTTTGTTCTCATAGATCTGGTTCATGTCTGTCTCTCCTGAAGTGTATTGAGGTAACAAAGCCCTCTGTCTCTTTTGGATGAAATACCCCAAGCACTGAACAGGTACAATGTCCTCACTCTATTCAGAAGGTGCAGGACAGGTTAATAACTCTTAGAACCTTCAGTCAGCCATGTTACAACATGCTTTAGGCTCGTTGGTTATTCATTACCTGTTGCCTTTTGCACCTTATTTAATAAAATCTTTTTGAGGAATGGCACCATCAGGACATTATGCAGGCAGGATTCGAATGCTCTTCTGCTTGAGTACCATGACTTGATGTGTCTGGAGCAACTAGGCCATGGCTCCAACAATTTCTTGGATTTTATGAAAAAATACAGTAAAACCACGGCTGGAATGTCCTCAACCTGACCTTGAACGAGCGTCTTGGCTCATTTTGATAGGCAGTTATCTGATCACTTTTTAATTTTACATATAGTCATGTTTGTTTCTCCGGATATCCAGTCCAGTCACAATGGCTCATTGTGAGTTGTGTGTTGCAGATTGAGGGCCCTTCTTATAAGAAGGTGCTGAAAGCTGCTGATAACCATTGCCCTTAGTGAAATCCTTCACATATCTGTTCTTACTAATGAACACAGGGAGACTCCATTGTGGATGAGTCATTGTGTACATAAGTGTACACCTTCGGGGTTAAGATGTTTTGTGCATCGTATTACTGAAAGATTATAAGGAAATGTTGCATATCTTAGTAGATCAAAACATTCCTGATGGATGTTCTGCCTCAACCGCACAATATTGAACTGATGCCAAACCATGCCACAAAACTCGGGCATGTGAGCCATGATTGAGTTTGGGAGCTGTGATATTATAAAGAGGATTCATGCAAAGAGTAGTTTAGAGCAAATAAATATAACTTAACTAATTTTTGATTTAATTTTTAGAAAATAAATGATGAAACAGTGTTGACATTCACTTTGTTCTACATTTTAATTACAATTTATTGTTATTTTATATATGTATTATTATAATTATAACGCCGTACTGTTATTGGCACTGTCTCTTTTGTTTCAAATCATTTTTATTTTTAATTTAGGGGAAACATTTTTTTTTTCATTCAGTACACACTTGAAAAAAAAAATAATAATAATTGGGCCAAGCCCAAAATGGCTAAAAACTAAGCTTTTATTTGTATTAACCACAAGTTATTGGTCAGGAAATTAGCTAAATGTATGCAAATGCATTACTTAAAAAGCCATTGTTGTCTAATAAAAACATCAGAGACAGAATTAAGTTTTTGGCAGAATATGGGATGTTGTGTGTGGAGTGATGAACCACAATGAAACACGAGTTGCATGATGATGCTCCAGAGTGGTGTCTTCGGAAATCTGCTGAGAAATATAATAATAAATGCATCTTTACCACCGTACCACAAGCATGGAGGAAGAGCTGTCACTGTGTGGGGAGCCTTTTCAGCTGCTGGTATTGGTGAGCTACTTCACCAAGAAAAGTCATTTAATGCTTTGGAGTACAGGAGAATATGGCTTGTTTCTCACAATTGAAAAGTTATCTAAAGAGGAATGATCAGAAGTTATTTTTCAACAAGACAATGCTCCTGCCCAAATTGCAAAGAGAACCAAGAAGTGGCTTGAGAACAAGTCCATTAGGCTCATGTTTTGGCCTGGTCAGAGTCCAGATTTGAGCCCTATAGTGAATATTTACTTAATGTTTAATCACATTAAACTCAAACTAACTGGGAGACAATTTTCAACTACTCATGAACTGTTTGAAGCCATCAATGCAAAGGGGAAGTCTATTCAGCGCAGTTATTTAATCTACATTATTTGTGCAATTCTTACTAATTTCCTGACCAGTGATTTGTGATTTTAGACCACTAAATATTTTGACATTTTTTGCCTGGCCCAATTTTTTTTTCTTTTTTTTTCTCAGGAGTGTACTTGCATGAAATGTAAGTGAGAAAAAGTTATCTTTTAAAGAGTAAGTTCTGACCAATATTTTTTTTCTTTGTGTAAAACAAAGGGTTTTGTTTGCTTTTAGTAATTGTAGTTTTTTGCGTTAATGTATCATATATCTAAATTCTTTATTCTCGGTTTGGAAACCCAATGTTCTTGTTTTTTCAGCATTTATAGAACTGTTGCATTCTGCATTTTTCTTTTTTTTTCTAATTTAAGATGAGGGAAGAAAATGCATTGAATTAAACCGTTCTAATTAGATTGTACTAACCTGGCTTTGGACATAACATGATGGTCTCTAGGTGGCGCTATTGGTTAACCTTTAGACCTCAGAGTAGTGAGCCACCTTTTCCCCATCAGTATGTGTTGAGCAGAAGGTGTAGGTGAAGTCAGTGTCCCACCACCACAACGGCACTGGGACTCTCAGCCCAGAAGTCCTTTTATCTTTGTGAGTCAGTTAGAGAAAAGTGCTAAAGATCGCAGAGCAAAGCAAACATACAGTCAACAATCAAGGCCCGCTCAGGGACATTACTTCTACAAATATTAGTGCAAATGTGTGTTTTTCTTAGATCATCAAAGAATTGAAGGTCTCTGTAAAAACAAATTTGACCACATAACAGTCATATTGATCTGAAATGCTTCAGAGGGTCAGTAGAGAATTATGTGAATTATGTGCTTAATAAGGACGGTGTGAAAGCAAGTGTGAGAGACATATTATATGAGTTAAATTTTCCAGCAAAAGTGTGTTTGTGAATTTATAGCTTTCAGAAAGTTACATTGTATTTAATTATTATATATTTTTCTAAAGAAAATATATTTCTTTCTGACAAAAAACAAAAATGTTATGATTATATAAAATGTTTTTTGAAAAAAGTGTCATGATCACCAATGCCAAAATTTTAGATTGTAATTTATTCCTGTGATGGCGGAATTTTCAGCATCATTACTCCAGTCTTCACTGTCGCATGATATTCTAATATGCCGATTTTCTGTTCAAGAAACATTTCTTACTATTAACAATGTTAAAAACAGTTGTGCTGCTTAATATTTTTGAGGAAACCATGGTTTTCCTCCAGGTTTCTCTAATGAATAGAAAGTTAAAAAAGAACAACATTTATTTCAAATTTAATCTTTTTGTAACTGATAACATTATAAATGTCAATTTAATGCATCATTGCTGATTAAAAGTATTAATATCTTTCAAAATAAAATCTTACAGACCCCAATCTTTTGAACGGTTGTATAGATTTAATTGGGTCAGTGAAATTATTGAAGAGGCAAGTACAAATCTAACCAGCCTAACTGAAAAATACTTATACATGAGTCCTGACCTTTCTTTGAGAATCACTTTTCATGAGTTTTAGTTCGCTCTATCTTATGTGAATGGTTGGTGTAATGTTTTAACTTACTCTTTCTCTGAAGATTGTTCCTGCCCAGGGAGGCCCCAGCCCCGGTCCCTCGAGTGCTGAGCCCCCAGCGCGGCCCTTTGTCAGGCGTCCTCTGCCCTCATGTGGAGAGTGCTCTGGGGCGACTTGTTTTAGATAACAGCGGGGCGCTGTAAACTTCAAACAGTTAAACCTTCACCTGTCAGCTTTATTCAGAAATAATGGGATGTGTCTGTTATCACCTCATTTGCTCGGGCATAAATCGAAGGGGCTATAATAATTGTTTTGAGTTATGAAATTGTTTGGCACCAGGAAGGCTGGAAGAAATCCCTGTCGTCCTTGATACAGAAAAGAGTCTCCAGATATGCTGACTAATAAGGTCAGGCTGAGCATTCCCCGAGACCGGTGTTCATATCCACGCTGTAATTTACCTTCCTGACATCATTAACATATGATCAAAAACAGCTCTTTGAGATTTGCAAGAAATCCCCTCTCAGCACTGTGGAAGGAACGTGAACGGCAAATTGATTTTAAAGTGAGAAATTTAGCCTTGTCCGCTTAGCCTGACTTGTCCAAAATTATCTGTGTTAAAGCCACTGGAGAGTGTCATTCTGGCCTCAGGGCTGACCGCAGCTCCATCCGGACGGTTTTTATTTCAGAGAAGGAAAAGGCCGACTTGAAAAGAAACAATGTGGTTTCTTGACATTGACTGGAACGTGCAAATCTCCCCCCTCCAAA